GTTGGGCCCAAAAGAAGACGTGCATTTAAAGAGGTGTTGCATTTAGGGGGGTAGCATTTAGGGGGGTCTGACTGTACTTTAAAAATCTTGTATGCTTCATAGATATCATTTGATCTCTTAAATAAAGACATTATACTGAAAATTATTATATTGAGAAAATGGGTACTGAGTTTTTGTAGAATTGAAATTTTTTTATGAATCAATTTTTATATAAATATTGATCAGGAAAATACAATGTAATTTTTTTAAATTAATTTTTAATGATTGAAATAAATTAAATTTCAATTTGCATTTTTTTTATTAATAATACAATAAACAATGAATTATAAAATTTAAATAGCATTTAAAAATTCTTTAGTTAAGTAACATGAATTCATTACGAAGATGATGATACGTAGTACCGTATTGGCGAGTAATAATGCACATGCGCGTTTTTTCGAAACACGCCTTTTTGAAAATTGTATTTTGACTTGAAATAACGCACACCTTTATATAAGTATATCATATATTGAATTGACCGTCTCCAAATTTGTCAGAATGATTCAGATATCGCGCATGCGCGTCCCGAAATAACGCAGATGCGCGTTATTGCGCGCCAATACTGTATATATTATTTCTACATTTTTTGCATTAATATAAACACCCCACAAAGACAGAAATTAAGATAAAACTAGTAGGAAAAAATTTAAAGCTTCACCTTTTATGAATAATATTAGAGTATAAGTACTAACAAATTAGGAAAAACATTGCGAAAAGATAAATACTATTTTAGACAAGATACACCTCAAAGTAATTTGAAAACAAAGAAACACTTTTTTAGTATAATGTCAAAAAGAAAACTCTTTCTTATGAAATAAGAAGATTGTTAGCGTTAGGGGATAGTTAGGGAACCATCCTCATAGGATGACATTCAGAATAGAGGGCTTTCATTTGATTGGTCAATCATTAAATGTATCGTTACATATCATTGCATATATCATCTGACTTTAAACGAATTGTAGACCATGAAAAAATTGTATAATGATACCAAATACATATTAAGAAACTACAACTTTCACTTTATATACAGTAAAAATAATTCGGAGAGCGGAGAAATAATTCAGAAGTTAGCTATGGGGAGTACTTTTTGTTTTATAGGCTAAAGTAATTCAGTAGTCGGCAAGGTAAAATCGCATGTTGGCTAATAAGCGTTGTTGCGTCTTTTTAACTTATTAATTTAAAAAGAGTCATTCAAACAATAATGCATACAGTCAGTTTTGTTAATTTTTTTTTCTGAATATAGGTTATTCGGCCAAGCTTTTAAGAATTACAATATATTAAATATAGAATATGCAAAAAACATGTACGATTACATACTATGTTCAGTAGTTAGTGTTAGGTATTTATACTATTCATTCCTCTAAGAGCGTGCATTACACTTGTTAATAAGTTGATTATTCTTTTATTTATTTACTATTTTGTTGTTAAACTATGTACTATATATCGTAGTTAGCAATTTGGTTAATAAAGATGCATCTAATAATAGTTAATAAATCGATCGTTAAGGGTTAAGGGTTATGACTTAGACTTTGGGTTGTTAGATTTCATAGTAATGTATTTATTAATATCAATTTAATTTCAAACATATTAAATATTTAATCGTTACAGTAATTAGGTTTGTATAGTCTTGCGAATAGTTTCGATTAACCAATGATATTTTTGGCAATTTCAAAGCCCTCTATGCTACGACATTCATATGATTGGTCAATCCTTGTAGATCTACCCGTGATTTCCCGCGATAATTAACCAATCAGATTACATAACTTAATCGACCGAATTCATAATACAAAGCTTTATAGCGAAACTTACATACTATTTTTTATTAATTATCCTTATTAATCATACAGTCAGACCTCTCTAAATGCATAGCGTCGGGCTAACAAAAAACCTTGCATTTAGAGAGGTATTGCAGTTATAGTTGTTAGACGAAACCATGTGATGCTAAATGTCACATATCAATATTTAATAAAAACTAGATTAAATTTTTAGGTCTTGGTAGTTTATGACAGGTGATGATTATCATCACATGGTTTCGTCTAACAACTATATTTCTTAGTACTCTTCAAATAATAATTTATTAGTTTATATAATCTAGTATATATTGCAGTATATATCTAGCAAAGCTTATATATGTAAAAGCAATAGTTTATATTAGCAATTGTCAACTGATAGTTATTTATGAAGATAAAGAATTTAAATCAGATTAAGGGATTGTTTTCGGATATTAATATTTTTGATCGAAAGAAATTTTTTTTTTCGGTTTAAAACAGTGTTAATCATAAGGCATTATAGCTTATTAACGGAGCAATTGGATCGTACGAATTTTTTCTGTAATAGTAACCGTTGCTTGCTGTTATAACCCATTGAGTCGATTCGCCCGTATCACTAGTGTGCATCTATCGAATCTATTTAAATAATCTTTATTTAATTTAGCATAATTGGTTGATGTATAAAAAAATTAAAACATGTTAATTTTAAGAACATTTAACAGTTAGTAGTAAATATTACAGTATTAGATGATATATATTTAGAATTTGAAATTTTTTGTAGTAATATTAAATTTCGAAATATTGCATCATGCGATCATACAAACATAAAGGGTCTCTTAACAGTTAATAACTTGTATGCACTTACGATAAAACAACAAAAAAAAAAAAACATTGGAGCTGCAGGCGACAACTTAACTACCTCAAGTATAATTAAAGTATGTACGTACGTATGTATATAATTTTTTTGACATTTATAAAGTAAAAAAGATATTATGCAGTAGTACTAATTTAGAGGTAATTTTTAAATACGTGGAAAATGTCAACAATATTTACGAAACTTTAACACAAAAATGTAGCACTAGCGACTCGTCATGCTGCAAAACTACTTTATTGCATACATATCAAGGAACCACCATTTAGAAATCTAGACGTCACGGTAACAAAAACAAGCAAGCCCTGATTAATAAGAAAACAAACTTACATCCGTACAGTATAGGATATATTATATAGCAAAAAATATTCGGATATTTATTTGAATTCTGAAATTGTTTGCAAGTCACAGGTATCCGAAAATGAATGTATTACTGTATTGAACAATATTAAAAAGTTGAATACAGCTTGAAAATATTAATCCATATATAAATTTGCAGGAAATATAAAGCATATAATAAATAATACGCAGGAAAATGGTGCTCCCTAGAAATGTCTAAATGTAAGGGAAGAAAATCGATTAGTGTAGTCTGCGAATCTCATGGATCACGCACTTTGATGGCAATTGGTTCTCGGTAAACTTGCATTGATTTACGTGCATTATTTACATTATGCCGTGTACGTACGTACGTACCTATTTCGGATGTTCGTCGTTAATTTGTTGTGGAGGTTACCAATAAAAAAAAAAAAAAAGGTTATAATAGAAATATAATGTGACCTATATAATCGAGATTAGCATCAATAATAATAAATAAGCTTATTTACACAAGAAAGAAAAAAAAAATAGGCTAAGCGTTAAGGCAGGTTTGTTTGTTTGTCTAAAACAGTTAGACAAAAAATTTCGCATTCCGTTTCATTGGTCGCTTTTAACTTACACGTGACTTACCATGCAAAGCTAAATAAAAATACATCATAAAAGAAATCTGATTGGATGTTTTCAATCGCATCTTTAGTGCATTTTTATGTGTCACTAATAATACACCACCGAATATTTCTCGCAGAATTTCGCATATTGACCCCCCATTCTCTTGAAATTATAATTTATCAAAGGATCATGTATCTATTACTTACTTAGCAGTTCTTACCGCCGATATTATTTATTCCAACTTTTCTACTTTCCTTTTTTCTGTTGTAACATATCTTGATTAAACTCTCCTAATCATATAAGTTTGGCATTTCATCCGATATTCGCCTTTTCTTCCTGTTTATATTTGATCAAAAAACTACTTGGTTTGCTGCGCCATCGATTTATTTTTGAGGCATATTCGTGAATTATGGAAACGATTACTGCCACGATTGTTCGATATTCTTTTGTGACAAAGCAACCTGCCTCTATAGTTTTTCATTTGGCATTTCCATTTTTTGAACTTAATTTGATCTTATCTAACTGGGAAACGAATCCAAATATAAATCGTAAAAACTTTATATTTAACTCTCTGTTTCCTAATATAACAACCGGCGATTCAAAATCATATTCAACTGATCGATATATATCAAATAATGTTACGTCGTGGATTCGAGATTGTTTATCTTATGTGCACTCTCAGTATGAAATTGTACCATCCCTTATAGACGAAAATATTACAATATCTTTAAACGATAATTTATGTGATACACTTGAACCATGTTCACAACAATGTATATTAATTGATCATATAGAATCTGCGCATATTTTAAGCGAATCTCCTATGATAAATTCTACAAAAGAAATTGAATATTCACGTTTTAAAGAACTTTTACATGATGACGAAATAGAGTGTAATAAAAATAATTGTTCTCAAGAAACTTTATATTCCTCAGCGTTACCAGAGCAACGCATTGAATCACAAATCATGAATAATGAAATCGATACATGTTCCAAATTTTATTCGGCGGTAGAACAGCAAGACGGATTTTTGAATTCTCCAACAAAATTCTTGGAATCATCTCTTGAAAAATCTCGCAATATTGAATCATCTAACAACATTTCACATGACATACAACAAATAGAAGAATCTTTACAAATGACACAATCAGTTTCAAGTATTGCGTCACAAGAATGTGAAACTTTTGAAAAAATAGAAAACAACGGTGAACGATGTCTTTTGGATAATTCTCTATATGTAACTGTTGTCCCTGAAGAAGTTGTATCTCCAACCAAAGAGGATTCCAACATTCCAATACCTATAGAACGTGCTCCAGCATCTCTCGCTGACATACCTCTTGACATTTTCATCGAAATATGTTACCATCTACCACCAAACTCCCTCTTCGCGCTTATTGGTGTGTGTAAACAATTTAGAAATTGGTTACGTTCAAGT